CGGTGGCTTTCTTCGCCTTCTGCTGCGACACAAGCGGGTCGGGTGGGAGATACCCGAGCTGGAGGGAGATGGAGGGGCGGGCGGAGGAGTTCATCCAACACACCACCACTGGTGAGCGAGCGGGTGGGCGGGCAGCACTACACAGACACATATTGTGGTCGCATGGATGCATGCCTTCTGGTCCTCCTGCTCGTTAATGTGTCCCTCTCAGATCTCTCCAAGGCGGCGGCCCATTAGGTCGAGGGCGCCGTGGGGGCTGGTCGTCGGAGCCGACTGCCTCCCAAGCGGCTTGCGGATCCTTGCCAGACTGACGACGGCCCTGTCGCCAAACACGCCTGTGGAGTGCTCCATCGATGTGTTCATTGAGCCGACGAATGACGCACCAACCATCACACCATCACCCAACGTGCCGGTGTCGATATCGCTGTCTGGGCCTCTTCCTTATGTGGAGATCGTCGGCTTCACCGTCGCCGACATCGACGTCCAGCCCGACCTCTGTCGCGCCAGGACCGCATCGCAGACAGACCCCCCCGCCCTGCCCGCGCTTCACTGCTGCCAAGGGTGCCCTCACCCAACGTGCCGGTGTCGCTGGACGAGCAGGACGAGCTGAAGCCGTCGGGTGAGTGCCGTTTATGGCGTGCCGGCCGGTCACCCGGCCCTGTGGTGGTGTCCATGGAGGCGGAGGAGGGCGACCAGGGCCGCATGCCAGCAATCCGCCTGTGGGCCTTAGTCACTCGGGGATCGACGGGCGAGGCCATCCGGCAGACCCGTTGGTCACTCGGGGATTGACGGGCGAGGCCATCCGGCAGACCCGTTGGTCACAGCAGCCCACACACGAAGGCCAGCTCTACTACGAGCGAGACACTCAGCAGCCGCCCTATCTCCCCTCCCCAGGCGCACCATTCGGCCCCCCACCGGCGGCATCAGTGCAGACCTACCGCGCCCCTCGCGAGGGCGGGCAAGAGGCAGAGGTGGTCGGCGCCGCGGCGCGGCGTCCATGGCCAAAGCCATGGGGGAGGAAGGTACTGAAGAGATACAAAAGTAAGCATCCACACCCCTACCCATAACACACACATGTCTGTATGTACGTGTGTGTGCGTTGTCCGATGCTCACTCACTCAGGATTGGCGACCACGAGCCTGCGGCACAACAGCACGAGCAGGTCATCACCCAGGAGGGCAAAGAGATCGCTGATAGAGCTGCCGCGCCTGCCCCGCCATCGTACAGCGTCGAGGAGCAGCCCTGTCGGCCCAGGTGCGGGTGGAGCAGCCCCGAGAGGAGCTCTCCAAACACAAGTACTCATCCCCAACACGTGTAGCGTCTGTGCCTTCTCCGCCGACGAGAAGCACCCCACCCAGCACCCACCGCCACCACAAGAAGAGGCCCCCGCGCCCCCATATGTAGACAGACGGGGGAGGATGGCTCTTCTTTGTTTTTGTTAGTTAATTAGTGTATTGTATTGTATTGCTTTTTTTTCTCCTTTGTCGTATTCTTTTCGTCCTTCCGTATGGTCGTGACGCTGCTTTGTCCTTTTCTTCTCGTCCTTCCGTATGGTCGTGACACTCCCGTTTCGTTCGTGTGCGTGGGTGTGGTGTGTCGCTGTCTACTCCCCGTCTGTCTACTTCTTCTGTGCGTCGGCGGTGTTCTCGTTGACCGAAACAATCGGGTGGTGGTGGTAATGGTGGTGCTTGTCGGGGTCGGGAGGCAGGTTGGTGGAGGGTGGGTGGGTGGATGGTGTCGGTCAGGGCCTGGGTGAGTGCGGCTGAGGGCAGTGCGTGAGATGTGTGTGTGCATCCGTGTCGACTGACTGACTGACTGACTTGCTGCGTATTCATTGTAATATTTTGGGTCCACGGTTCATTCGACCTACTCACTCCACTCACCATGTGCTGTTTGTATGGACACCAACGATGCTGTCCCTCACCGGACGACGCTGCACCTCACTCTATGAGCAAGCCGTAAGCAACCACCAAAGCCCCAACCCCCCACACACACGTGTGTGTCACGTCCCATGGCTTTCTGTCCATCTCTGTGTTTTGTTCGTCAGCCAGGTGCACGTTAATTTTGTCTGACGCATTGGCCTCTGGTTGGGGCGGGTGCGTTCGTTGCGGAGCGGCCCGACATCGGCATCGTGAGGACTACCGATTGAACCAGACGGATCATCCATCCAAACGAGGCCGACCGACAGAAACGCGCTGGCCTTCGTTTAGGCAAACGCCGCCATCTCTGGACGAGTTCAGGTGAGTGAGTGACAAGGCAGGCAGACAAGGAAGGGCTCGCCGCACACAATAAACAATGTGTGTCGGCGGTTATGTGTATCAGGGATTCGTCTCAGCTGCTGTCTCGTGTGTCTATTGCGGCCACCATCTAACGTGCACGCCGGCACGCAGCCTCCCGGCGCCACGCCGGGGCACCCTTGGCGGCACACCACGGCTGACAAGAGAAGCGGCTGTCCGCCTCTGCCGGAACCAACACGCTGCTGTCTTTCGCCACTCAATCGGCTGACCCATCTACGCGCACACACCCACTACGGACGGCACCAGCACTTCATCCACGACTGCAGACAGCTGGATGCCGCCCTACTTGAGCTGGTGCATATGGTGTTCCGCTGGGCCAGATCTATCATGTATCATGGCTATCAGCACGCAGTGGCAGGAGAAGCGGACGCCACTGCACACGGCATCACACCGGCCAACGGGGTCGGCGGACGCGCCTCTGACCGTCGAGGCCCATGGAGCTGGCTTCGTTCGACCATCGTGCTAGCTGGGAGACAGAAGAAGGAGAGGCTTTCCCGGTTGTGTGTCAAGACACAGACAGACACACTGCCCAGATGCATACCTGTTTTTAAGCAAGCACATGATCGCTGTGGAAGAAGGTGAGGTGCGCGGACAGCACCCTGCCAGCCAACACACACACATATTCGTCGATCTTTTGTTCAGATGCGCCATGCCGCCGATCTGCGTGAGTTTGGTCGCTGGCCAAGGCCGCCGACGTCACTGACTGACATAACTCTGATACTCACTAATTGCACTCACTGGTGAGCACCACACACATGCACTCATCCCTCCCGACCTCGTGTGTCCAACTATCCATGTGTGTCTCGTTTGTCAGGCGCACAGCACAGCCAGCACTCACTGGCCCTCGTACACACACATTCCTACAGGCCGACCGACACGTTACTCTGCCGACTACATCCATCCACAGCTAGCTGCATAAGTGACAGGTGGGTGGGCATCGCACACACATGAGCGGGATGTCCGTCTCAAATAAAGGCTCACTCTACTCCCCTTCTATCTCTCCTTCATCTGCCTGCAGAGAGACGGGTGGACGCATGACAAGCAAGCCCCACCCACCCACCCACTCCACCCGCCAGCCGCCGACCAAGAGCCTTCTCCCCGCCAAAAGACGCAAGTCGAACGGGCCCACACATTGGGGCGAAGTCGTCCGAGCCGCCATTCATTTGTGTGGCCGACCGACAGCGTTGCACTGTCTATTCCCGTTTGTCTCGTGACCGTCTCTTTGCCATCCTCGTCCTTCGAGTATGCGGCGTGACACCTGTCGGCCCTGCAGTCTGTGTGTCGGGGGCGGGGCGCAAAGAGGAGGGGCGGGCGGGCGATCGGGTGCGCTGGAAGGGGCGATCGATGGTGGACCAGTACGTCGGTGGACGATGGGTCGGTCAGATGACATGGAGGTGCTTTGGACACCGAGAATCAATGGGTGAGTGAGCTATGTATGGGCGGGAGTGGAGTGTGTGGGTGTGTGTGGGTGGGCTGACTGATGACGGACGCGATGGTAAGTGCATTCACCGCTATGATGCTTGCCTACCTAGCTACCTACTGACGTCCATGAGTGTGCATATGCATGACTGACAGCTGTCGTGTCATCGGGGTCTCATGGATTGGTGTGCCTTTTTCTTGTCGGCTGCCTGTCGCGTACGTGGTGTCGTGCACAAACACTATGGCCTTGCCAGCGCCTGACGCACCCATACATGCCCCGTGCCAGTCAGCCCAGCCTAGCCTAACCCCTACCCCCACAAAATTATTAAGGACATAGGCGACGGTGTTCGTCGGAGCCTCACACAAATCTATCGTATGAATCGACAGGGACGGCCAGCGTCTCTTTTGTCGGTATGTCGTTCTGCCCATACCTGGCTGTCGTGTGTGCGCTGCTCGCCTGCTGGTTGTGGGCATGCGAAGCATCCCCCTGCTGGTTGAGGACGCTATTGCAAGTGTCCGCCGCCATGCGTGAACTCTGACGGGCGGGCCTCTCAAGGGGCGCGTGTGTGAACTTGGGGCTTGTGTGTGTGGTGGCGGTGTCAGTGTGTGTGGGCATCAACTTGCGTGCATGTGGACAGGTCCGTGGATGTCGATTAGTTAATGGCCATGTCATTGGACGACATGCAAGCCAGGTCACAATCATGGATTCATGCGCACACGTGTCACACCGACACACACAAGCAGTCGTTTGCCCGCACTCGGTCACTCACGCAGCCACTCACTGAGACGGGCAGAGCGATGCTGCATGCATGCATTGTCCTTCTCTGTCTGTCTGTATGTGCGATCTGTCTCGTTTCGGCCAGACTCTTGGTCTCGTGGTATCTCACTTGGTGCTAGCCGGTCGGGGCGGCACTTCCAACAGCCTGACTTGTCACAGACAAAGAGTTGTGTCACACACACTTGGTGTCACACACGCTGATCAATCACCTCAGTAGATGTCGTCAGATTGGGTGCAGTGTCTGCGCGATGGAGTATGAGCGGCGCGGGCTGCATGAAGTCTCTCGTGCGGTAGTACTTCTCAACAATGCCTACACACACACACACACACACACATGCACACACACACACACACACACACATGCACACACACACACACACACTCTCCGCATTGTGTAACCTGACCTTCAAACAGTTCGCTCCAGGTCTCCTCTGGCAGTTTGTCGCGCATCTCGAATATGACGCTGATATAGTCGTCTTCTGAGAAGCCTGCCGGACGTCCGAGACGGGCAAGGTCCCGCGCCACAGCGAGGTGACGTCGAGCCTTGCCCTCCTCCGTCAGCTTCATCTCGCGACACTGCTCCATTGTCATGGCCCCGCCTTCCTCATGGTACACCGACTGCATGCAAAGACACAATCCTTCGGCACGAATGCGAGTCACGTTCGTCGGCATGCATGTGAGTTACATCTGTCGGTCCGACGAGACTTCGGCGAAGGAATGGAGCCGAGCGACCTGTTCAGACAAACACATACTCACTGGTGCACTGGTGTGTTGATGGGAATATGCAGCTATTCACCGGCACTGGCAGTATGTGTGTTTGTGGGCGGCTTGGCAGTTGCAGCATCAACGTTCCACTGGCGGTACGACGTAGTGCTCTCGTCGCCTGCACACACACACACACAGACATCCACACACAGAGAGTGAGTGGGGATGGGTCTCTTATCTGTTTGTCGCTTGTCTGCCTGTCTGTTCATCGGTCTGTGCATTGGCCATGCCCACCACTCTGGGTGTTGACGTCAGTGGCTTGGGCATCGTCTGACGTGAACGACCGCACGGTCTGGTTGTCGAACAAGGAACTCATTCCTGCACACACACACACACAGACATCCACACACAGAGAGTGAGTGAGGATGGGTCTCTTATCTGTTTGTCGCTTGTCTGCCTGTCTGTTCATCGGTCTGTGCATTGGCCATGCCCACCACTCTGGGTGTTGATGTCAGTGGCTTGGGCATCGTCTGACGTGAACGGCCGCACGTTGTGGTTGTCGAACAAGGAACTCATTCCTGCACACACACACACACAGACATCCACACACAGAGAGTGAGTGAGGATGGGTCTCTTATCTGTTTGTCGCTTGTCTGCCTGTCTGTTCATCGGTCTGTGCATTGGCCATGCCCACCACTCTGGTTGTCTGTGTTGATGTCAGTGGTTTGGGCATCGTGTGACGAGAACGGCCGCACGGTCTGGTTGTCGAACAAGGAACTCATTCCTGCACACACACACACACAGACATCCACACACAGAGAGTGAGTGAGGATGGGTCTCTTATCTGTTCGTCGCTTGTCTGCCTGTCTGTTAATCGCTCTGTGCATTGGCCATGCCCACCACTCTGGGTGTTGATGTCAGTGGGTTGGGCATCGTCTGACGTGAACGGCCGCACGGTCTGGTTGTCGAACAAGGAACTCATTCCTGCACACACACACACACACAGACATCCACACACAGAGAGTGAGTGAGGATGGGTCTCTTATCTGTTTGTCGCTTGTCTGCCTGTCTGTTCATCGGTCTGTGCATTGGCCATGCCCACCACTCTGGGTGTTGATGTCACACTTGTTGTCGCTCATTGTAAACAAAGGAATCAAGCAATGAACCAATTGCAATCAATCACTCAGTGAATCAATCGATCGATCGAAAAAGCAGCTGATCAACCGATGGATCGATCGATCGAGCCATCGAATCACACGATCGATCGATCCAACCTTGACTTGTGTGTACAGGCATAATTATGTACAGGCAGCCGTTGACAGAGGTCCATCACACAATCAGTCCGCAAATCTAAAGGTGATGGAGCTGTCTCTCTCGCTTCAAATGCCCCCATGATAGATACCCATACGCAAAAACTCGAATCATTCATTCATCCATCAACACGCAAAGCAATGAATGAATGCAGCCAAAAGCTTCGCTCCTCATTCATTCACACAGACAGACAGACAGATATCTAGATAAACCGACAGAGACTGGTGACATTTCCGTGGCAACCATCAGCCCCATGTCGGTGCTGACGAATGCGAAAGTGTGCAGCAGAGACCTCCGAAGAGACGGCAAACCTACACACACAATACCAACAGCATCGGTCAGTCAGGAAGGCTTTTCCTCTGGTGCGTTCGTGACTGACCTGAGAGAGTAGGCAGATTGTGAACAGACAGGGAGGGCAGATGGACATATGGATCCACGGCGGCTCCCTAACCCGTTTGCTGCATGATACAGAGAGTGTGTCGTTGGAGCAGTGTTGGCACGGCAGATACTCCAGCTGACTCAACACGACCGGGGCAGCATCCACAGGCGCCTGAAACCTGACATAAACCAACCAAGCAACCACCATCTCCGGCCATTCAGACACACATGGCATCCACCGACCTGATAGCGTGTCCCGTCCACTCCATGATATTGACCCCAGCGATGGACTGGGAGTGCACCTCGCCATAGGCAGCAGACACACGCACGTCCATCATGGTGTCATCGTCAACTGACGTGCCACTGGCGGCGGCCAAGACGTCGATGCCGTGGATGGGCGACGCGGCGCCTCCATGCACCTCTTGATGAGGCCGAGATATCACACGCGCCTGGGCGCACATCCGGACAAAACAGACGTCTGAAGCAGTGACGTGTGTGCTCCTTGTCACTCACCGATTGGCCGAGGGCCTTCTGTGCAACCAGCGATATCCACCACATCACCAGGATTTCGGCTTGACGACTCATCGCTCCTCTAAAACGGCACTCGCTCGTTCCCCCATTGGCTCAGGCAGATCC